TCAGCTCTGCTCAGCTCTGCTCAGCTCTGCTCAGCTCTGCTCAGCTCTGCTCAGCTCTGCTCAGCTCTGCTCAGCTCTGCTCTGTGTGCTGCACCACATTCAGCTCTCCAGGTGTGCGCTTAAAAGGAGCACAGGCCACGCCCCCTAAGGAAGACCTGTGAGGAAGCACAATCAGGAAATAGGCGGCAGCTGGCTGCAATTAACTAAGCAGCAGGGCCGTCACACTATAATGGTGGTTTGTTATATTTTTAAAAGAGGATGTAGTTTATTTTAATACAACCTGTAATTTATTTCAGTTCACTTTTATTAGTTCCTTTGTTCAAAAAAAGGTTGCAGTGTGAAACAAACTGCAAACAAAATATCGATGTGTTTCTTTGGAAATTATTAGACTATGTTTTTCTTCTTCAAAGAATCAAGTTTAAATGTAAATTTTAGGCACTTTGATACCAACAGCCAGTCACAAATAAACAATTCATTCCCATTTTTAAGTTAAATCTATGAGGATAACCATTTGACAGACAGAACATAGAAACAGTAAAATTAGGGATGGTCTACATCTTTTGCACAGTGAAATATTTTCCAGCTAAATTAAAAAGCAAAGTTGAAGTGTAGCTCTTGTGTGTTTCAGCAGTTGGGAGACGTGTTTAAAGTGTAGGAGTAACTTCCCAAACTTTCTGAGGAGGAAGTTAAGAAGACTCGTGCTAATTACCCCGTTACTTTGTTTAAAACAGCCGGGAGAAATGAATTGTCAGCAAAGRGAACACCTCCTATTATCCAGTCAAAGGACTCTTTTTTTTGCATTCCAGGGGAACTAGACATATTTTGCACAATTGTAGGTGTAGGAAAGGAGAAGAAAAAAGTAAAATCTTACACTTGCACCACATGATCCCTACAGCAAGCCTTTAAACTGAAAACTCTGAATRTTCAAAATAATTATGGCAAAACACTGTCAAGAACTTCTGAGGTAGAAAAAAAACATGATGCAGCGAGTCAGAACTGAGAGAATAAATGATTGGCTTCAGCTAAAACAGAGCTTGCTGTGCTGCTGATACAGATTACTGTAAAAGTTAAGGCCTCTTTTTGCATGTTGCACACAGTATCAGCAAAAATAAAGGAAACAGAATCAGCAACTATACGAAGTTTTATTACCTGCTGCCTCAGAAAACATAGTAAACCATCTCACCTTGTAGGACCTCATGCAGCGCATTGAGGCAGGAAGAGAGGCATTGCTGTCATCCATCACCTGTAGCAGCTCCTCACACACCGTCAGGGGCAGAACCACCGGGTGTCCGATGGCATTCACCTCCCAYCTAGAAACAATCCTGAAAACAAAGATGGTGTTGGTGGCATTTACTGTGAATGCCACTGCCTTAAATAATCAGAGGGGAATCTCATTCACTCAGCTTTTTTAATAAAGTGTTTTTACCTAATGAAGTAAAACAGAAAACTACACTGTAAAATGACATTTTTCTACTTGGCTGGTTAAACCCATTTTCTATGGAAAGGTGACAAATTATCAATGAAGTCATAATAAAAGAAAATTATTAGCTAATTTAAAACATAAATTCATTACCATATCTGCCTCATCAACATTTGTGTTCTCTTTCTGATACAAAGGCCATCCTTCATGGATTTTTTTCTGAATTTATTAAATTAAAACTGTAGTTTGATGAGTGCTCATCCAAGACTGGTGATTACATACTCTTTGCCAGGTGTTGTACAACTACTCAGTAAAGTTTATTTTCTGTTTTTGCACACTTAAAGCTTTAAAGTGTCATTTTTAGAGCTGATGAAGTTGAGCACCACTTACAGTTATTTTTAAACTATTTTTTTGTTAATTTGTTCATATTAATGTTTACTCAGAGGTTTTCATATTTGATGTGATGGTTTTACTTTAATAAAATGTTTTTTTGAATATTAGCCAATTTTGTTTCACGAAAAAAAAAACTCGAGCTGTGATAGATAAAAGAATGTAAATAAAACAGATACACAAGTATTCTCACAAAGAATAACTCAACACTAACAGATAA